GAATGCATCTGATTGGTCCATTGCTGACCAATTATATTTTACCATGTGTGGATGCCCCTGGGTGTTTTCTTTCTAATGGTGAAAACCGCAGGTCGCTAGCTACATCTGTTCAGGAGATATTCCTCCTTGAGTTTTCTCCATCCACTTCTGGCGCCGACATTAGTTATTTATTGAATAGTTTTTTTTTTTGCATCTCAATACTTTTTTATATACGGAGTGATGCTTGAAATTCATCATACATCTAACAAATGACCTTATTTTTTTTTCTAATATTTCAAGATGATTTCAACATATAGACAATTAAGATTTTCATTAAAATATAGTCACATTTGTTTCTAGTTTGTCTTCTCGAAATATTATCTTTCTATGTCATATATTTGCTATGCTGGATTAGAAACATTAAAAATGATGTCGTTCAATTCTGTTGAAAAATAATCATTTATTCTATTCAGAGATATATATCAACATTGTACGTTTAAAAATATCGTATTTCATCTTTTTGTACGAGACGATCCAAAAGGGAATATTGAAGCAGAGGGATAAAAATTTAGACTCTCCTCTTCTCCAAGCTGTAACATAGATATTGTTGATATACTATCAAAGACTGTATATCAATAAAGTCTCGTATCAAATATATGAACTATTTTCTTATTGGATTTCTGAAGGATTAAGTAAATGAAGAGTGAAGAAAGCAATCTGTTGGTGATTCATATTTTATCTCTGTACGGTTTGCCCTAACAGCTTTTTTTTTCGTTAGATGTATGATTTATTTTAAGGTAAATCGAACGACGTCATTTTTAGTATAGTAAATATATGATAAAGAAAGTTTCTTTATTTTGAGCAGGTGAACTATACAAATATGGATACATAACTCTCTATATTGAAATAATCTCGAGATATTAGATCATTTGTTTGATATATGATGAATTTTACACACAACTCCCAATACCTATCGCGATAGTTAGAGGTGTAAGCCGAAGGATCAAACGGCTGTGGCTGTTTTAATGATCCAATTTTTTCCATGGCGGCGGCTGAAAAATTCGTAAAACTATCTCCGATTCCGTGGCGGTGGCGGCGGTGCAGCTGGATGGCTTACACCTCTAACGATAGTCCAATTTTACTAGAATCATTAAACAATATTTTCTCAACTATGCAGCTCTAGAAAGTATATATATATATAGTCAATAGAAAAAAAATCAAGTACTTTTGACTGACAGATGGTTCATTTTACATTTTATGTTTGAGAAATACTTCGGTGATCTATTAAATAATAGTGAGTGATTAAATATCGATAAATTTTCCTATCAAAATAACTGAAATCCAATTTTCATAGTTATTATGATTCAAATGTAGAGTAAAGACGTATTCGAATAGTTTGAATATATACTTTTAGGTATGTCTAACGCTTATCGCTCATGGGAATCTTCACATCAATGTTTAGTACATTATGTTAGTGCAATGCCTTCACAATTATATTATGTAACACAAACATTTCTCAATAAAGAAAATTTTCCTGGTGGTTCATTTCGTACGTAAATATTAATCAATGGACAAACAAGATATATTAACATTATTTTATTTATAGATATGCGTCATTTGAAGTTGGCTGGTCCAGATAAAATAAATCTAATTAAAAGTATTATGGACTTTGTTAAACATGATGGATCTGAAAAACATAAAACAGCTGTCATAGAAAATATTCTTACTTATGCACCAATAAAACAACAATTTATTATGGTTGGTGATTCAGGTGAACTTGATCCAGAAGTAAGAAATAATAAAATTAAAAATTTTTCTCAATATATAATATTATTTAGATTTATGGAGATATTGCTCGAAAATATTCTGATAGAATTAAAATGATATTCATACGTATTGTTCAAGGTGGTAAAAATAATAATAATCGATTTGAAATAGCTTTTAAAAATGTATCTCAAGATAAATGGAAGTTATTTTCTAATGCAAATGAACTTCCTGAAAAATTATTTGATAATGAAAATTCAATAAATGAATATGATGGAAATAATCATGTAAATTCTGCTGAATCAAATACTGAAAATATTTTATCAACATCTTTGTTCTATACTATCATAGCAGCACTTTTAAATTTACTTTTTATTCTAACTTATGTATAAATTATGAGTATATTTATGTGTATCTTTTTTTTTTTCTATGTTGTTATTTTTGTTTTTTAAAATAAACGATCATAGTTATTCGATAAATTTTAATCTTTTTAGATAAGAATATAATCAGAAAATTATTTAGCTCGGATAGTATTCTATCTTTGAAAGATAAAAACATGAATTTAATCATAGTAACATTTACAAGAAATACAATTCACTTCTTATTAACCGTTCATGTTACCAATAGGATTTATTGAAATATATAGACAAATATGAGGGTGTGGGTGAGAGTACATAAAATATTCTCACTCACACTCATACCTTGATCGGCATTGGCTAAGCAATATTTGTGTAGTTGTTGAAACCATAAAACTAAAACATGAATGACAAATATAGTTTTTATTATTAGATTAATGTCAGTAAATATATTTGATATTGATCAAAAATTTCGACCATTCGACTTGTTCATATGTAAGGTTGATACGTTTTTAACACACCTTCAATTATCTCGAAAAGCTTGAGAACTAGAAAGTTGATTCAAACGTCATTCGATGCAGCTTCACATATAAGAATGACACTTTTTGTGTACTCAAAAAGTGAGTACACTCTAGAATCGGTCAGTGTGTCCGGCCGGCCGGACGGCCGTGTACACGATAACTCTTCACAATTACATCCGATTGAGCTGAAATTTTGTGCACAGAATTGTCTCATCAATATCTTGGTCGAGTTTGAAGATGAGAAAGATCCGTCAAGAAATGGCTGAGTTATCGAAAAAATTGTCATTTTTTGACCAGACCATCCCTGA